GTCCACAGGCTCTCTTATCCCTTCCTCACCTTGTTTGGGGGGTTCTGACACCCCTGGGCTCCCCTTCATTGTTGTGGCACCACTGGGGTCCTCATGGTCAGCCTGAGTCTTTGGGGGGTCCAGGCACTGGGGCTCCTCCCAGAGTTGAGGTCCAGGAGGAGTTTCTCCCCGTTGGCTTCTCCCAGATCTTCCAGACTCCTCAGGCCTGAGCCGGGCTGGGAGGAGGGAACCTTCCCTGAGATCCTGGAGTCCGACGTCCAGACGACACGACCGGAGAGATGGAGCTGATGGGGGAGGATGTGGGCGTCGGCGCTCCTGGTGTCTGACTGGGAGAGAGCTCCGATGTCGGGTTGTCTGTCCTCCCTCTTGACTTTTTCTCCTTCAGGATCCCACAGAGATCTCGGTTGAGTGTGTTCACTGTCACACAGGAATGTTCTTTGGCTTCAACTGGCTGGTACCCCACTCCTCCAGCTCCCACCTGGCTGGTACCCCACTCCTCTCACCATTCCAGTGAACACAGAGAGACACACTGGTTTAGTGACTCACCATTCCAGTGAATACCCAGCACAGTAACTATGTAGTACAATAATTATACACAAAATAAACTGATGCTTTTTGTACAGCCATTGCTGAACACCCAGCGTAGTGAAGACCCAATAGTTATTCATAGTAGAGTGACTGGTTTAGTGTCCAACCATCACAGTGAACATTCTGTACAGCAAATATTTAATAAAAGAAAAAATAGGCAAAGACACCAGGAAGTGTAGTGACTTACCTATTTCAGTGAATATCTTGTAAACCATTACTGTGAATTTCCAATACAGACAATTATCTATGACAGTGAATCTCCAGTACAGAGACTATCAGTCACAGAGAATAATCATTACATTGCTTATCTGTTACAGTGAATACACAATACCAGTCACAGTGAATAATTGTAAGTAATTATCTATTACAACAAATACCAGTTATAGTGACTGGCCACTACAGTGAATAAGAGTGAATATTCAGGACAAAGTGTGTTGTGACTAACCACTACAATTACTATCCAGTAAACTGAATATCCAACACAAAATATTCAGGGAAAAGGCTGCCTGGATTAGTGACTAACCATTAGAGAGGAATGCAGTACAGTGAAGATGCAAGAGAGTTTAGTGACCTACCATTCCAGTGAACCCCCAGCACAGTATACAGGCCAATAAACTAATTATTCAGGAAGCAGACTGAAGAGACGGTCTGGTTTAGTGGTTAACGCGTACAGAGAATATCCAAGAAAGGGTGTCCTCGTTAATTCTCCGTCAGGTTTTCAGTTGTTTTGGTACAAGACTGTCTTTCATTAAGGGACACCTGCAGACTTCCGCTGAACTGTTCCAAACGTCCGTCTGTGTTTTCCAGGGAATCATGTGGGCTTGCGAGGAGAATTGGAGACAAACAATGATAAACTATTGACGTATTCATACTTGGTCAGATATTAAGTTTAACATCATCGGCTCAAAATGGCTGGTGATACTCAGGTCTACAACCACACTAAACCTGACAGTGAAGTAGCTGTCTCTGCTCTGCACCGCGCATCTCTATCCTGTACAAATACAGGTCAGGTGTGTCTCTGCACCACACGTCTCTAGAGCGCTAGTGGAGCTGGAAGACCATCAGGACTGAGAGCAATACAAGAACCCCCTCTGTCAGGAGTGTAGACCCCTCTAGTGACCCTACTGTAGACCCGCTCACCTCCCCCAGTGACGATAGTGTTTCCCTGAAGGTCCCTCACTCTGTAGCTCCCCCGATCAGACGCCCTCAGGTCCTTGCAGACACATACAAGCGAAAAATAAAACCGGTCGCTTCCATACGAAAGACCTCAGTCTTCATCGAAATCGTTCATCAACGCAAATAAAAGCCGCTATTATTGGATTCGCGTTCAGATCACATTCAAACCCGCAACCGCTGCTCTCGTTTGTGTCGTGACTAATTACACTTGAGTATCGCGCTTGTACTCTCATCTGGTATACAAAAATGCCCTTTTTAAAATTAAGAACAAGAACTTCCCGTTATACATAAACATGACACAAAGTAATTCTATAATAACGTGCCCTAAATGTTCATTACGGTTTAAATTAATTGAAATGCTCCGACTCAGAGCGTCTTGTAGTTCGTGCTAATTAGGACAACAATGCTGAGCCCTTTGTGTATTAAGCACAAGTTCAGCTGGTCTCTAACTTCACACAAATTAAAAACAAATTTCGATAAACTGCAACACGTCGCCCCTAAATGTATATATTGTACATACAACCGAACAAAAAAAACGTTCGCTTACTTATGAAGAATCT